CTGATGTTCAACAACGAGCTCATGGCTGACGTTCACTTCATCGTGGGCCCGCCGGGGGCATCCAGGAAAGTTCCTGCCCATAAGGTTTGTGCAGATAATTTTTGGCTTTTTTGTGCTGCTGTGCGTATCGCCTTCTCCCCCTGCCTTACAACGAGGATCCATTTTTTTCTTTTTCTAATTACGGCTCTCGTCTAATCCCAGAAGTCATTCACATGCGCTGCAATTAAAGGGAACAGTCGAAGGCAGTCTTCTGCCTCCACTGTAGCTTTTAACTTTCCCTAAGTGTAGCTCTTATCGAAAGCCAGCACACTCAGCTATTACTGATATGTATTACTGAGGCTTCTCTCTCCCTCTATTTTCCAGTATGTTTTGGCAGTTGGTAGCTCTGTCTTCTACGCTATGTTTTATGGCGATCTTGCAGAGGTCAAATCTGAAATCCATATACCAGATGTGGAACCTGCAGCCTTTCTAATCCTATTAAAGTAAGTGGCCACTGTAAGTCTACTAATTATGCGGACAGAATCAAAGTAGCTTATAAAGTATACCTCTCCTAATTGGCATCGTGCAATATGCACTTATTACTGTTTACTTTAATGTGCTGACAAATACTGAATGTCAGATTCATTGCCAGCAAAGATGACTATAGATCAGCCTCTCGTGGCCTATTTTTTTTTTCCTTCCTGCCCATAAGAAACTTTTTTTTTCCCCCATCTAGATACATGTATAGTGATGAAATAGACCTGGAAGCTGACACAGTTCTGGCTACTCTGTATGCTGCCAAGAAGTACATCGTGCCGGCCCTAGCAAAGGCTTGCGTCAATTTTCTGGAGACCAGTTTAGAAGCGAAGAACGCTTGTGTCCTGCTGTCTCAGAGCAGGCTCTTTGAGGAGCCAGAGCTGACGCAGCGCTGCTGGGAAGTGATTGATGCTCAAGCAGAAATGGCACTGAAGTCAGAGGGCTTCTGTGAGATAGATCAACAAACACTAGAGATCATTGTAACCCGGGAGGCGCTCAACACCAAGGAAGTGGTAGTTTTTGAGGCTGTTCTCAACTGGGCAGAGGCTGAATGCAAAAGGCAAGGGCTGCCGGTTACGCCACGCAACAAGAGGAATGTATTAGGAAAAGCTTTGTACTTGGTGCGGATTCCGACCATGACTTTGGAAGAGTTTGCCAACGGCGCTGCCCAGTCTGACATCCTCACCCTGGAGGAAACTCACAACATATTCCTGTGGTACACGGCTGCGAATAAACCCAAACTAGAGTTTCCGCTGACAAAAAGAAAAGGACTTGTACCTCAGCGATGCCATCGATTTCAGTCGTCTGCGTATCGCAGCAACCAGTGGAGGTACCGAGGGCGATGTGACAGTATTCAGTTTGCCGTAGACAAACGGATATTTATAGCGGGACTGGGATTGTATGGGTCGAGCTGTGGCAAAGCTGAATACAGTGTCAAAATCGAACTGAAGCGCTTAGGAGTTGTCCTTGCTCAAAATCTGACAAAGTTTACCTCTGATGGCTCCAGTAACACTTTCTCTGTGTGGTTTGAACACCCTGTGCAGGTTGAGCAAGACACGTTTTACAATGTAAGTGCTATTCTTGATGGCAACGAGCTCAGTTACTTCGGGCAAGAGGGAATGACTGAAGTGCAGTGTGGGAAAGTGACATTCCAGTTCCAGTGCTCCTCGGACAGTACTAATGGCACTGGAGTACAAGGAGGACAAATACCTGAGCTCATTTTCTATGCATGATGCATTTCACCTTGATTGTATTCCGATACTGCAACAATGCACACTAAGGGATTTTTCAGTTTTACTACGAACTCTGCAGCAGTATGGAATGTTATGCTACTTACCTATCTGCTACATCAGGCTATACAAATAAGTGAAGGAATGCTCTTGAATTTAATCTTATTTTATTTATTCCTAAGCTATTTGACTTTAATTATTAAGACTGCAACAAGCAGAAAAATGTTAAATTTTGCACGTACTGTGCATTTATTTTGTATATAGATAACTAACTTGCAGACTGCAGCTGACTTAAACAGAAAGTTCTAAACTAGAGCAGTTTATGAATCTGTGAAATATAAAACATTTTTACTTGCTCTAAATGCTGTGTACTTGATCATTGCTGATCTTACGGCTCGTGTCTGTTAATTCATCTACAGTACAGTTAACAGGGGTGTAATACTGTAGTCTGTCCCCTGTGCGCACACGGGGCAGTAGCTGTTGCCGCAAATACAGAGGTTCCCTTGCCTGGTAACTGAGACTATCAGCAGCCTTTATTTTCCTTCACACAAAAAAGGGAGCTAACACATGTGGAAGCTCAGGGGTTTTTGTGTGTTGCCTAAGCTGAAGAGAGACAAACCATGAGTGTAATTAAAGTTGATCAAAATCATCCTGTGGTTATATTTGAAAGCCTCTGATGCCCATTCACACGCATGGTCTGTGTTAACCTCCGCAGCCTGCCCAGCAAACAGCAATGCTGACACTTGCACCTGTCAAGCTGCACCCCATTTGAAGGGCCAGAGTCAAGACGTACAGATGAAGCTTAACACGGTGACAGGTTTTATCAGATTTAGCTCAGAGCTGTAATTCTGGCAGCCACTATCTAAATATACATCCTAGCCTCACATTTAGGAGCAGACATTAGAGAAATACTTGCAATATGGTCTTTTAAGTTTGCTCAAAATTAGTAATTAGAAATAAGCCACCTTAAAAGCTGCTGGATCTTTCCTTCCCCTTCTATTTTTTTTCTAAAAAACATAGTCCATCCACTATCAGCAGTCATCTTATAGCTAATACCCTTAACTTTTCTCAAAGAGTGATAAAAATAGGTGTTTTTCCTCAAGTGTCTGACAATCATTACAGATGAGCCAATTAGAAATACTTACTGAGATTTATAAATCTACCTTCTATAATGACCTTGGAAAGAATACTCAAACAGCAGTCTAAACCAGTATGATTTTTCCATGTATAACAAGTACCTTTGCATTTAATTTAGAAGGGTTTTCTGTTTGCCTTTTCCTAAGCTGTGTTAATTTTCACCTTGAAACTAAGCTGCAATACAAATACCACCTGTTCTCTCTTAAAAACAAAAAAGTAGTGAAAAATAAGGTGGCAACCGACCTATTGATAACAAGAACTTTTTACCAGACATCAAGCTATGCTAACGTAGCCAGCATACCACGGTGGCCAATAGCTGTGCATTGCCACCTACTATCTGGATGTCGTTGTGACGATGCTTAATATGTGAGCTGCTGGTTCTCTTGCTGCAAAGGAAGGCAGCTACATGCCCAGCTGAGTACATCTGAAGGGGTGTGCGTGTGTGTTGTTCCTGAACACAAAAGGCATCTGATCCTCTCAGTACAGATTAAAGGAGAGTGGGAGTGAGAGTAGGTAAAGATACAGGAAGAAAATTCCTGCTCAGAGGTGGGTAACAGTCACAAGACCTCTCTACAAACTCACTCTTTTAACTGGAACTGGCATGACTTCCCTTGGCTTAAAGGCTACAGCCCAGACAACAGCTTTTTCACCCTTTAACAGGTTAAAACCCATCTTCCTATCACCATGTTACAATTTCAGCGATGACTTACTAATTAAAAAGTTATTCGCATGCTTGGAAAAAGTTGCTCCTCATTTTCCATCAAGCCACTTGTATTTCAAGCACTGAACACCTCAGCTACAGGTGATAGATAGTAAATTTGGCAAATATTTATCAAATGTTGCATCTCTGTGGAATTGAGGAGTGACAGGCCTGTGCAAGCCTTTAGGCGCACACAAATTTATTATACATCAGCCCATTGTCTTAGTGCAGCCTGAACTACTCTCAGAAAAAGCAACAAAACTACTTGTAAAAGAAAATAGCATCTAGCTCCCAAAACATAAAGGAGAACAGGCTTTCATGGTCAGCGCTGCTCTTTGGCCTGGACTGATTCCAGCTTCATTTTTGAGCTACCATTTTGGTATTTAGCACACAATACTATGTATATATACACACACACATATATATATTATTTTAAAGTAACCATGCAGAAAATACACCCAAATACTCAAAAGTCAACTCATAAAAAAAAATACCTATGGCTGGAGCATTTATGCAGAGTTCTCTGGCCAACAGAAGGAAAGTTTTTCCCAGCACATAGACATTCACCTATTAAAAGAAAAAAAATCATTATTTAAATCTAAAACCACAAATGTTTTTAATAGAACATTTATGCAGAAAGGAAGAAACCCCCACACTTTTGAAATCTTAACCTGCTGTAAAAAAAATTTAACTGAAGTAATACAAGCGATATTCATAGGTACAGAATAATACTTGTTGCTTGTCGAAAGCTGCACAAATTAGTATTGTAAACCAAAGCGTAAGTTTATACTGAAAGAATTAGACAAAGTTGTTTGCCATGTTCTTCAGTGGGCTCAGTGTTGCTCTGTAGTACTTGGGCAATTTTTCAGTTGTCACCTAACATCTTAAAGCATTAAGTAGACTTTAATATAATATCAGTATATATAAAGTGTTGTTTATCTTGTAATGTAACAAAACCTGAGCAAATACTCACAAGTTAGTGCAAATTTCAGCTCTGTATGATCATGTGAAGTGGAATAATTAAGTATTGCACAAGCACACACCGACTCTTCCACCAAAGCAAGGAGTGTTGCTACATGCCCCAAGGGTTATATGTAATTTCTTACTGTTTGGACATTGCCCCAGATCACCTTACATTAAAAAAACGATCAATAAATTCAGAAAAACCTTAAACCACACCAAACTTGCTCAGGAGCCAGGGACAGAGCCCTGCTCCTCTCCCCTCCTTCACTGCTGCACTCAGGAGGACATAAACTAAGGGGAGGAGTTACTCTTCATATTCTGATTTGCAATTTATAGCACAGGCAACTACATTTGTATTTTAAAAGTCTGAGGAAGTTTTCTTTCACTATCTTAAGATGTGTTTTTGTGGTCAGCAAGAAAGGCAGGATATACACAGTTCCCAATCAGCCTCAAATGTTCCCACGAAGCTCCATGAACACCTTGCTCCCCCAATGCACATATAAAGGTCAAAGTTAGTAGAAAAAAACTTCATCCTCCTACACTGCAAATAGATTTTTTTTTTCCCGTTTTTAGGATAGTATATACTCTATTGCTTTTATGTAACAAAACTGCCCCTCTCTTTCCTACACCAGGATAGTGAAGGTATTTACTAAGCAGTCAATTACACAACCGAGTTGTTGATTATGGTACAAACCTATGGAAATAAAAAAATCCTGTTACTAAGTGTATTATCTTTCAGTTTCACAAAACAGCTTTACCAACATTAGTTTAAAAGCAAGCTTTCCTCCCAAGTGCATAGATGCATCTACCAAGCTAGCAAAAATAAATATATATATTTAAACAAGCAAGCAAACAAAAAAAATACTGACACATTTTCACCTAGCACTTCAGAATTTTTCTTTATGGGAAAATGTTCTTAACGTGAATTTTTCTCAAATGTAAAAAATTTAAAAAATGAGAACTTCAAAGAAATCCTCAGAATCATCATGTACCCTGAAAGTGACCGCTCAATCAAGTCTACATGCTATGACGTTAATTCACTCCATATTTAGTGGAAAGTATTGAATATCTTCCATGCTTTGTCTGACCAATGGTTGGACTGGTCTAGAGGATACAGAAGTATAGTCTTAAAATTTACCATCCTTTTTTTTCCTGAAATACCAGACAACATAGAAATACTATTCTATGGGAAGTAAGTGAACAAAATATACCCTTTGAATAAGAACTATATTTCTTGGGAAAAAAGGCACCAAATTTTATACAGAAGCAGCACCACCTACTGAATCTGGCAATTCATGTAGGAGTTTGAGAGCATGTGACTTTCCATGAGCCACAGAGAGAGAACGGACATTACTACAGCAAAAGATCGGCAGTGTTTCAGTTGGCTTTAGATGCGCTAGATTCACTAAGTTTGGAATGGCTTGTTTTGACCTTTTGTCTAAGAAATATTAACATAAAGAGTGGGGGTTTCGCTGTACTTTCAGCCTTCTAACTTGGCTGACCAAATTACTATAGCTCTTAAACCTCATCACTTAGATCTTGTTCTGCAAGGACTATTTCGCTGCACTAATCAATCAAGTTACTTCAGTGGAGCCAAGTACATACGATGTTTCTATCAGAGGCTTTGCAAACGCATCTACTTCTTTCATTTTAGCCTAGGAAAAAAACCCTCAAATTCAGACAAATATTTGTCCCTCTGGCTTTTTTTGGTCACAACATCCAAATACTTGATGTTTGTCCCCATCAAACCATGTCACTCTCTAAGAAACTCCTCCCAAGCAAACTTTCCATAGATGCAGTCATCAAAGAACAAATAAATATGAGGAGGCATAAAGAAGCATGTTTTTTTAGTGACATACTAACAATCTACGTGGGTGCCAAATTAAATCTAAAGCAAAGACAAATTCATAATATAATTGCTCGATGACTGTTTTTTATCTTCCTCTCCTTGGCCTAAGTAACTCTCCAGATCCATAGTCTATTTGAGATGTACTTCAATCTAACCTGCTTTTCCACTTCACCCACATGATCAGTGTTTTATGACCAACTTCAAGGTGTAGGCAGGGTATTTACACAAAATAATAAATTCAAATAGAAAGATACATCAGGGAATTTCTTTCTTTTGATCAGAAGTGCATTTCTTTGCAGTCTCTGGTTACTACCTATTTAGAAAGAAAGCATAAGATACAGTGGTTTACGTGCTCTATATTGTTTCCTCATGAAGCTCACACATTTTTAATGCCAGCATAAAGTCACAAAAAGAATCAGGAATATTTAACTGCTTCCTGTTTTCCTGGTAAATCAGTAGGAAAAGAGACTTCAGGCCCTCTCAAACAATACACTTCTCATCTTTAAAAGTTACCAGATACTCACAGGTACTTGGGCATTTCTCATAAATGGGAAATTAAAGATGGCATAAAGCTCACCCAGAAATCTGTCATGGCACTGAACTGCTAAAACATGATATTTAAGAACTGGTTTTAGTGGAAGAAGGTCCTTTCACTAAAATTTTATGCAACTGTCACTAATTTCAACTATTACTCACGCGCGCGCACACATCCT